TAGGGTTAGGTTTTGCATAAGGTTATGGGTATAGGGCGGTATGTAGGTGGTTGATTGAGTTTGTGTGGTGGGTTTAGGCGGGGGATGGTGAGTTGGTCGGGGCTGGGGTGGTATCTTAAAACGGGGCGTACCTAGTGCTAGCTGACTCGGGCTTCTGCGGCTTTGGGGGCTTCGACTCCCCACTCTCGAATCTCCTAGCCTCCCAGGCCTACAGACCCCAAAGCCTGAGACTGTCCTTGCCGGGATCCGCGGCTGCCGAGGAACTGTACAGACTGTAGCACTTCAGAGTTACCACGACAAGGAAAGCATCTAAATATGAATGCATATAAGATATGATACATGTTCATATATGTATATACATATACATGAGAACCCAGCAGACCGTCAACCACGAGTATAGTGGCTGCTTGGCGACCTGCTTCAGCGTGAGGTTCCTGACTTTCTTGGACAGAGACAGAAAAGGCTTCGGGGTGTTGTGTAGTATATTAGGGACACCTCAATAGACCCTAAACCCTAAACCCTGTTAGAAGAGTGTCTTGGGGATATACCATGATGGCAAGAAGGGAGCCCTAAGGAATTGCATTGCGAAGTCTTTAGGACTCTCTCATTTACTCTCATTTAACTCCTTACCACCCTACAGCATATGTCCTCAACTGCAAGAGACTCTAAAACCCTACACCTGAAGCCTATAACCAGCTTAATAAAAAGGAATCCTGATTCACTTCGAAACGTGACAAGGCTCATGGGATCCTCAACACCATCGTCCTCGCCCTTGAGGCAAGATTTATAGAAGCTGCAGCTGTCGCAGTCCTGAACTTTCGGATCCTAGACCCTCCACCCTACGCTTCAAATTCTGTAGACCTCAACCCCTCCAAACCAAATCCCACACCCTCAACCCTAGCTAAACCTAAGTGAAGTGTGCATGGCGTTGCTGCTGGATTTTGACGGGTCTCAGAGCTCTCGGGTCGGGGAGTTTCGGTCTGTGTCGCATTGGGGTTTAAATTACGGGGGTTTCAGGGTTCGGGAAGTTCAGGGTTTAGGTTTCGGTGTAGGGTTTCAGGTTTGAGGACCTTAGGATTTAAGGTGTCGGGGCTTAGGGGGAGAATCCAGTCGGGTGCTTCTCGGGCTTGGGCAGTCCTGGGCAGCCTTATCCACGGTGCAGTCGTACTGGAAGACAGGCACGCCGTAGTTCGTGTAGATATCTTTAGACCAGAGGTCGTGATCGTCGATGCCCATGGAATATGCTGCTTGGATATCCCCCTTCGCCAAGTGGTCCATGCAGATCAAATACCCGCCGTCGAGGTGCTCACCAAAGCCTGAACTTTCTGCTCTTGGCCTTCAGATCGGCCTCTACATATATGCAAAAAAAGAGGGCCCTCTTTAGGAGGCTTTACAGGCTTTGGGGCTTAGGAGTTATACAAGAACCGTGGCCCAGCTTTGACCTAGGAACGGCGGAAGTCCTTGCAGGAGCCGCAGATGCGGAAGGAGTTCAGGAGATCCCTTGTGACGCCGGGTTCCATGGAGTCGGCGAGCGCTGCGATCTTTTTAGACAGAGCCTGTCCCTGTAGGTCTCCATGTAGGTCACTGAATTGACGGCTGGCGTCATCTCTGAAAACAGACCTCTGCCAGAGTTCTCGAAATTGGGAGGGTGCGGGTCCGGTGGTTGAGGGAAAAGCTGTCTCTGCTTTACAGGCCCTGTAACCCCGAACATATCATCGACCTATGGTGCAGACTAAATGCTAAATGTGGCGCTTGCTTCTTCCCACTGAAGGGCTGTCTACCACCGACTGAAAGATCGATGTCTCGGGCCTCTGCTTCTGCAGCAAGCAGTCAGCGGAGGGGCTTCCCTCCGAGGCCCAGCCCAGTTTGGACCTGAAGAAGGCCAGGCCAAGGAGTGCCCGGAGAGCCATGGCAGGAAACACGTCACAGCCTTTTTCGGTAAGCAGGGGCAAAATGTCTTGAGATAAAACTCACTCCAAATCGGACGAGGGCTCATGTGCTTCGACTCGACAGCTCTTGGCTTCCCCAGGGACTACTTGGGGGTTTCCGAAAATAGGGGACCCTAAAAAAGTACCCTAAATAGTAGGATCCTTATTATAAGGACTCCAAGAATAAGGTAGCCTAGTTTTCGGAAACTCGCACTTAAGGCAGATGCCAGGCCCAGGCTTGACTCCATGTCCGGCCTCGACGATGCACTGCGCCGCGATGGCCACGCGGAAGTTCAGCATCACCTCGCCCCCGGGCAGCCAATTTGCCCCTGATTCAACGAGGCTTCGGCCTCTGAGGCTTCGGGGCTTCAGATATCTGGGGCTCGGGGCTTTCGGGGGCTTTGATCTTGGGGGGGCTGCGAAACCTCCCGGTCCCTAAACACTCGGGGCCTTTCTTGAGATCAGAGTAGGGCTTTGAAGGATCCTCCGGAACAGCTATATAAAAAAAGCATAAAAGGGACAAAAAAATGCTCATGATTTCCGACCCCGATAACAACGGCCCTTTCAGATGGAAGCAGAACCAACTAGGCTGTCGTGGTTTGGGCTCCTTTGGGATTTCTGTTCGGAGTCCTGGCGGAAAGGTGGGCCGATCGAGATAACTCGATACCAGCCGCAGCTCTCTCCTTCTAGACACTCCAAAGTCTCGGCTGTTAACACCAGCGTCTGGTGGAGAAAACCGAAGTCGCACAGTCGCCAAATCCCAAACCCTCTGTCGGAAGACAACGTCGAAGTTGAAACCTCTGAAGCTCTTCTACCCAGCCTCGCTGAAGGGGTTCCGCACCGTGGAAACCTCAAGCTTCGAGAACGAAAGCGGGAAGGGCATGCTTGAGGGAGTTGAACGAAATAACCCGAGTGGGTTCCAGGAGCTATTGAGTTCGTTGAGTTGCTTCGGCGCTTGGGATTATTTTAGGGTGTAGGGCTTCATGCACATGCGTGCATCATCTGAACCTGCTCGATCAACTGAGGCAATTGTTCAACAAGCTGGTTCAATTTAACCGATTAGTGCGTGGTTCGTTCGATCATGTTGATAGGTTTGCCCGGCGGGCTCATGTAAGTGGATCTGGAACTATGCATGAAATTCGTGCGAGTCGTCGCATGGAATCACTCGAACGGAAACGAACTATACAGTACTTGAGCAAGAACTTCGCCTTGAGGAAGCATCAGGTCTTGGAACTGTTTCGGGTCCTTTTATCACTCAGTTGGAGGTTCTCTTACTGAACCAGTGCAATGTGGTATGTCAAGAATTATACAACTAGACAACTGTCGACAAACCTCCGCCAGGTACCGAAACAATCTGAACTATTCGCCGGCCGGCATCCATGTGGAGAGTCTCTAGCGACTGCGGCTGGGACTGGCCCACGTAATGGAAATAGTAATCCTGGGCTCTTCCGCAGCTGGGTAGAAGCTTTGGTTTATGCTCGAGTTTCAGGCCCAAAGTGTAGAGTAGAGTTTAGGGCTTAGGGCTAGCTCTCGTTCGAGTAGTCTTGGCAGGGGTTGTCCAGAATCTTTCAATGCATCCGCTTTCGTAAATTAGAGGCGAGATGATATCTGCGACAGCACAGCTTGTAGCACCTGAATGTGCGAAGCCTTTCCGTCCGTCCATCAAGAGCCGGGAACTGATGGGAGCAGAAGTTGCAGGCAAAGATGCTAGTGAAAACATCACACAAGTGTCCTAAACCCTAAACCCTAAACCAAGTGACAGGTCTGGGTTCATAAAGTTCTCCAACGCTCTGAAACTCCCCACGAGTCCCGAATGACGGCACGTAAGGACCCCGAAGGAACCAGGGAACGCTGGTGTGTCTGCGGCTGCGCGTCGTAGGTGTTCCTCCCAAAAGGTAGCAGCTCTGAGCTGAACACCTGATAGTTCCTGGGCATCGGATGCTGAGTTTAGGAGGGCCTGAAAAAGTTGAGAGGTGAAGGTGTCAGATTGGTGGGGTGCGCAGTTCAGACAGTACTTGCAACATGCAAAGCCAGCTGCGCTGCGCATGACTTTGCCCGCCCATCCAGCGACCATACTACTTATCCCGAAGTTCCTAAACCCTAAACCCTAGATCGAAGTTTGTTCTCTTCAGAAACCCCTCCTCAAGCCGCAAACCCCCTGTCCGAGAAACTGCAGTGCGCTCGCACCAAAGTCGCCCAGAAGCTCGGCCTCCGCTCTGGGTTTGGGGAGTGTTTGGGGTTGTGGGCTTGGCAAGTTTTGGGGGGCTGGGCTTCCAGGGCTTTGGGTTTAGGGCTTAGGGCTTTAAGGCTTCGGGTTTAGGGCTTTAGGGAGGTTCAGGTTTTTTTGGCTTGGTAGGCAGTCAGGGTATAGGCTTTACCATGGGTTGTAATATTATTTGGGGGGTGTCCAGGGAATCGGATAATCGAACGCAGAAGCTGCAGGATTGACTTGAATGATACTGCGCTAGTTAGTGTTTGGCGGCCCTCATGATTATCGTTCTCACGGTGTTTAATTAACATTCCATTTATGAAGGGTTGCAGCTTGAAGCTTGTGGCTGAGTTCGGACTGTTGGCCTCTTACCTGACACAAGGAAACCGTTCCGCACCATAGCAGAATATTCCCGTCTGGTTTCTGGCTAAGTATATAATGTACTCTACGTCCCCCAACACCTTGGTCCACTGTGTTCTCCCCGCACCCTGCTCCCTGGGCAGCGCAGGGCCTGCGAAAGGTAGGTGAGCAGCATGGCGTGGATTTGGTAAAACCTGAGGATGTTGGAGGCCTTCTTGCGCACTTCGGCCTCCTTTGGGGTTCGCGGGGCCTTTTTTTTCAGCGCCCTAGGAGGCGTGGTACCAGGAAGCTGCAGAGAGCTCGTGTGTGGTTTCGGCTTTTCAATTTTGGAGGGCTGGCCTTGGTGCTGTGTTTGCTCCTTTGTTTGCTGCTGTTTGGGAATAGGCTTAGCTTAGCGGCTTAGCATTTATGTCATCGTGTCCTGGTACCCAGAGCTTGCGTAGTTCGGGCACAATGACATGTGCGAATTTGATTCATCGAAACTTGCAGTATCAGCCCCATGGGGAGTCGTGTACGTTTGCTGGCCAAGGCACTTGCGAGCATTCTTCCTCTTTGTCTGAGCATAGATGTGCGCGGCATTGATGCGATTCCTTTCGGGCTGGCTTTCAAGAACTGCTCTACCTCGTACAGTTCTTCTTTTGGGGTTTGCGGCCTGGGTTTGCTTGGCTCAGGCCTATTCACGCCCTTTGTCAACAGTAGCGGAGCTTCAGGGGTGCTGTCCCGGCAGTTCCCTGAGCTAAAATGAATTAGACAAGAAGCATTGCACCCCCGGTCTCCAGGTCTCTGGTCTCTCTCACACGCTTTGATCTTCTGTCTTGGGATTTCAATTCTGTGGTCAGCAGTCTACGTATGGTTCATAGTAAGCCGTCATAAGCAAACTTCACACGTGCTTCTCGAGCCTGTACCTACACCCACTTTCTTCCCTAAACCTTAAATACCCTAAATCCTAAACCCTAACACCCGACTACCTCGGAACCAGAAGCACCCGACTCACTTTCGGGAAAACTAAACCCTAAACCCTAAACCTAAACGCTAAACCCTACCAGCTTTCTGGGAAGTCCTAAGCTGCTCCCGGCCCGAGGGTCCAGTCACGGAATCCCCAGGCGTAGACCATGGGCCGGGGCGCCAGGTTGAGCAAGCTGCCCTGCTTCAGGGGTTTAAAGGGGCTTCGGGGTGTAATGGCTTCAGGGGCTTAAGGGTTTTTCGGCCTTAAGGGTTTAGGGTTTCAGGGTTTGCCCACGAGCAAGAAAAAGTTGAATATCGACCCCTGCACCCGTGCAGGTTGCGAAGTGTCGTGCACTTTGGGATTATTCTGCACATTGGATTATTCTGCACATTGAGTTCTCCTGCGGGCTTGCCTGAGTGTATCCCCGAAGGCAACGCTGAAGGCAAGCGGGAGCCCAGAAAGAAACAAGCCCCTAAACCCCTAGACCCTTTAAACCCCTAGACCCTTTACACCCCTAAACCCTTTAAACCCCTAAACCCTTTAAACCCTCTAAACCTCATCCCTCAGGGGCGATTTCTGAGGCAGCGGCCCTTGGGGCCGCTGCGCCCTAAAGCGAAGTCTTCTTAACCCGAAGTACCCTAAAAAACTGTGCATCTTTCGGGGGCCTCCAGCCAGGTGGCGCCGCCCTCCATCATCACCGTGGTGCTGGTTCCGAAACCTGCCACTGCACCGTGCAGCTTTAGGGCCTCAGGGCTTTTGGCTTGTTGTGGGGGTTTTAGGGAAGTTTAAGGAAGTTTAGGGGTTCGTGAGGAAGAGGGCGAAGGGTTGCTCTTAGCAGTAGCTTGCACCGCACAGCAGAGCAATGGCTGCGGAGATTTCTCAGATCCGCTTGGAAGCCCCAAAGCGCTGGACCAAAAGACTTTGGCCCCGAAAGGCCCCAAACCCCTACAGCCCACACTCGGCGCCTCCCTGAATGACATGAGCTAGCTCATGGGCGAAGGTGTTCCTCAGCGAGACGCCGACATGGCTCAGGGTCTTGGGCTCTTGGGAGCCTCTTCGGGTTTAGAGTTCAGGGTTTAGGGTTTAGAGTTCAGAGTTCAGGGTTTAGGGTTTAGAGTTCAGGGTGCGGGCTTCGGTTTCCGTCTAGGGTTCGGGGATTCGAGCGCCCCTACGGTCCCGGTAGGCAACTGGCGGAAGCGATTGGGATGCTGCACGACTGTTGGGCATGAGCTTTGCCAGCGAGCCCACATCAAAGTGTGGTGCCAGCCCTCCCCCCCCCCCCAAAAAAAAAACAAGAAAACTGAAAAAAGGTCGTTAGACAAGCACAGGTGCTGCTTGAAAACTCTACTCCATGCAGTCCCAAGAGGCGCGACGTGGTAAGGGTTCGGATTCCTGCCAGGACTGGAGCTCAGTCGGTTGGATGAGCTTCCGGCAAAAATATGAGGATATCTTCTTTGGGTTTAGGGTTTGGGTTTAGGGTTTAGGGTTTAGGGTTTAGGGAATGCTAACCATCGAATTGAACTTGAACCTCGTGCTATCTCTCAATCAGTGGGTTGCAGCTTCTGTTGCTATCCCGCTGACCCCTTGGTTGGGAAGCTTCTGGACTACTTTTGTCCTTTTGCAGGCAGGGGCCTTACGGGGGGAGGGGGATTTGGGCAGGCAACAGAGGTCTTGGGTGAAGAGCTTGTGGGCGAGGAGAGGCATCGGCCAAACAAGGACAGATCCAGGGCCCCCGCACGTCCACGAGCTCTTGGCACAGATAGAAGATAATGTCTGCGTTGGTACTGGACTTGTTGTTGACGGGCCCGGGAAAGTTCACCAAGAAGTCATCTTGGCATGTGATCGTTTTGGGGGTCGGCTGCACATCGCACACCCTCAAAGCAGAAGCCTTGACCTACCGACTTCCCATGACCATCACATTTCGCTTTCGAAGCTCTGCCGCAAAACCACCTCTACGCGCAGCTGGCCTAGGGGTGTGTGGATTAGGGTTTGCTTGGAAAGAAAGTGAAGCCCAATAAAAAGGCAAGCTAGAAGGAGCCTCCCAACAGCCTGAGGCCCCACAGCCCCCAAGTATCCGGAACCCTGAAGCCTCCAAAATCCTAACCGCAACACTGGCAAGGCCCAAGAACGCCACTCTACACCGCTCTTCCTGGCTGGGATAGCAGGCCAAGGAAGCCCTTGAAACTTCCCTTCCGCCCCTTGCTCTACGGACCCTCATACGTCAAACATCCTTTTTTTCTTAATTATGTGGCTTCTAGTGTCTCTTTTCACACTAAGGGTGTCCAGGAGAACTAATCCGTGGGATTTTTCAGCAGGGCTGCGGGCCATCACGAATGCGTTGTCGAAGCCACAGCGCCTGGGAAGCCGGGAATCCAATTCCTGGGCCTTACATGTAGCAACAACGAACATACAGCTCTTGTTTGTTTTCCTTTTTTTGGGGGGGAGGGGGGGGTATACTGCATCCTCCTTGTGTTTGTGTCTCTGTGATGCGTTTGTATGAAATTGTGGTCTTCGGATCGTGGGCTTTGCTTTGTCGTCGGGTGATTCCCTGTCCTGCCTACTGTGCCTACTCGCTCTTTGGTTTCAGAGGTTTAGGGTTTAGGGTTTACTCGCTCTTTGGTTTCAGAGGCTTTTCGGTGTGCCTAGGACCATCCTGAACTCCTACGGCCGAGCAGGGAGACCCCCAAAGAAAAGCAAAGCTGAAGGCGTCTAGCCCAAATCTCAGGAAGGCGGCTGCAGCAGGACGTTGATTCGATCGGAGCCTCAAGGATTTCAGAGCTCCAAGAGGGATACCCTGAGGGTTCTAAGCCGGGGATCTATCAGAGCTCTAGGGGAGTCGGGCTTCAGAACGGGCTCTGTCTAAGGCTTCAAGTGGAGCTGACGGACTTTGCAGTCTTGGGAATTTCAGGGGTTGGGGTCAAAAGTCTCGGTAGCTTCTATTCAAGTTTGGGCCTTGTGGAGTGTAGGGGTTTGGGAGCTTAGGGCTGGCGGGCTTTTGGTCAATGCGACTTTCGGGTTTCGGGCTTCAGGGTTCGGGTGTTGCATCAAGGGCTTGGGGTTCTGAGTCCACGAGGGGGATTTTCCCATGGGTTTGGGCTTCAAGGGTTCAGATGGCCGATAACCCACAGCTTCACGGAGCTCAGAACCGACAGATGCCGAGACTTCAAGGCCACTCCAGGACCATCTGAACCGGAAGTTGCTCCAAGAAGCAGGTGTACATGAACGGCATCTCTCCCATCACCTCGAAGTCGGGAGCTCTCTGGAACAGAAAGCCCCACTTGCGAGTAACCGTCTAAGTCTGGCCGTCCCATTTGGAGTTTCCATCCCAATCTCTTCATCCACAGAAGCATGACCGACTTGAGGACACTGGGAGTGGAGCTTGCAAAGACTAGGACCAAAGAGGGTCCTTTGCAGAGGAATGGATGGCCTCTACTCTACGAACTGAAAAACTGCCTAACCAGACTCTGCCCCCTGCAAGATGAAGACGGAAAGCACGGGGCCCCCAAAAGCTCCGATGGAGCTGCGGTCCAGCTCTAAAGTTACCAAAAGCGCCCTTAAACTGTTAGGACCTGTTAGGATCCGATTCTTCTCGGAATGCTCTATGTTATGGCTCTTAAAGCGCCTTTGAACTGTTAGGACCTGTTAGGATCCGATTCTTCTCGGAATGCTCTATGGTTTGGCTCTTAAAGCTCCCTTGAACTGTTAGGACCTGTTAGGATCCGCTTCTCGGAATGCTCTATGTTATGGCTCTTAAAGCACCCTTGAACTGTTAGGACCTGTTAGGATCCGATTCTTCTCGGAAGGCTCTAAGAGTCTCTTAGAAAATGTTCCGATCCCTGCAGCGCCTTGCATTCGTGCTCCATCCAGCTGGCGCTCCCAGCTGCGGGCTTCCTGAGTGGGACGTTGCGTTTGGACTCAGGGGCTTTAGGGTTTAGGGTTTAGGGTTCAGGGTTTAGGATTTAGGGTTTTAGGGTTTAGGGTTTAGGATTCATGGTAGGATGGAGACGAACAGCGATGTGAACATATCACATTCTCTCATACTCCATCTTCCCTGCGGCAGAGTTGTTTTGAGACGGGAAGCTGCTTCTTCCGCTTCGGTCTAGTACCAAGGGGTTCGTGTGTGGCCCAGGTCTCGGGGTGTACGGTCAGACCGAAAACACCCCTGAGACTTCTCCGGGGCCCAGGAGCCTCGAATCCTGAGAACCACCCGCGCCCCCTACGGTTTGGGGTTTAGGGTTTAGGGATGAGAACCCCCCCGCCCCCTCTCCACCAAAAACAAGCCAATGACCCAAGACAAAAAAGATCCATTAATACTGCAGCTTTGGGTGGATCCACGATGAAGCCACAGTCCGTGAAACGTAGGTTTCTTCACCGTGCGTCAGCTCGTCCACATTGTGGACATTGGCATAGATTTCGGCTGCCTCTGCCGGACGAGAGGAGCGCAGACCATCACATCTGAAGACAAGGTCCCTCGTGGGTTAGAAGACGATGCATGGGCTTCGGATGCTATGCAATGATATTCAGCCAAGAAAAAACATCTTGGGGAAAAGCTATTCACGCATGGGCCGGCTCCCGTTTGTCAGCAACTTCGAGCAGATGTACTCCGAACTCCGCACGGGCATTGGCACTGCGCTGGTGGTCGCAGTCGCGCCTTCACTGCGACATCGCGCTGAAGATCTGTAGATCCCTCCTCGAAAGAGCAACAGAGTTTCAAGGAGCGGTTTAGGGAAGGTGCCACCTCGGGAAAAAGGTCGGGAGATCAAGGACCTAGCACCGTTAGTTTGCCTCACAGTGTCCTTGGTGCCGAAAATCGGTGGTACAGCTCATGAATCCAGGGTCCTCCGCCCATACATTGATGTGCCCGGCCACCAGATCCTGGCTGCCCGAGGTCACCCGAAAAGGCAGCTTCGTGCAGAACACAAGTGAAGCCTAGGCATCAACCACTCAGGGTAGAGATCCTTATCTGAGCATCAATCTCTGCTGATTCCAGAAGTCATCCTGCCAAAGGATGTATGGAGTGTCTCTGAATCGGCTTCTGCCTAGCAATCTTGGGGCAAGCCTGCGTCCAGGCAGTTCGGAGTTGGGATCCTGCTTAGCATTTTGGACTCGACGAGCCGACGAGCATCGGTTCCCCGAAAATCCGGCACCCCAGCGGAAAGCCATGCCTCCAGCGTGAACTCGCTGCGCCTGCCCATGCCTCTGAAGGACGCTGAGAACAGGGCTCATGGGCCCCTCGTTGCAGATTTCAGCCTCTTCTCCTCGGAATACTTCCTTGGGCTTTTGGAATCTCCCCTAAACCCTAAACCGTCTCGACATAAGGGGCGCTAGCGGTCTTGGTTTCCGACGACGAAGCCCAAAGCTCTGCTCCCAGAGCCCCCGGCTTGACCCGAAACCCTGAAGCCTTTGGAGCCTTTTTAGGGTTTAGGGTTTAGGGTTAAAGACCTGAAACCTCCTGAAGAGTCAGAGCCCTCAAGGTGACTCTAAGCCGCTGATGTAGAAGCTCTGAAAAATCTTGATTGATCTTCTTTTTTAGCCTAATGAGGAGACATATCAAATAGTCCAGTGGCCTCCTGGTCCGACCTAGCTTAGGTGAAGTACACCCAGAGGCCCAAGAAAAGATACTGACAAAAAAACTCACCGAAAAACGAAAAAGATGGCATTAGCTCTCCTCTGGCCCCTTCAATCGCGGCCACCCGGCCTACATTCAGGTAGGCCCTCTTCTGTCCCACCTGTCCGACAATGTGAGGCTGAAAGGGCTGGGAATATGCCATTAGCGGCGCTGGCGGTGCGAAGTCCAGCTTGAAAGACAAGAGAAGATGCAGCGCTGGGAGGCCCAAGAAAGTTCGTGAAAACCGCTGCTGGCCCGGAGATCACGACCCAATGCAAGACGGTGATCACGCCCTCCTTTACGAATATGCCTAAGTGTGCCGCTGGGTCACATGAACTTTATTGATCGGACATCTTGCCAACACAGGGCATCGAATCCAAAAAACACTCTCTCCCAATATGCACTGCAACGAACATTCCTTGTCTTCAGGGTCTTCCGAGAAGGGGACCCTTCAACACCGATCCCCACTCCGATATCCAAACGGAACCAATCCACAAAAACCTTTGATTGTGGAAAAAGGCCCAAACAACAGGCGATCTCAAAAGCCAGACTCATGAAGAAAGACCCCCAACAAAAGAAGGGCGACGCACCGTCCCCATGATCAAGACACCTCCAAAGAATTCCGTACACCTAGATCCCTAAACACGCAAATGTACTCCAACCGTACATGCAATCCCTAATATAAGGGCCTTGATTCTTATACAAGACTTTCATTACTGAGCCCTAAGAAATGCTACTAGCAACCAGACCCTTACGCCCTAAAAACCCCCAAAGCCTCCGGATAAGTTCGCTGCCATCCCCCGCAGCGACCGGAGTCCCGGATCCTTGGCCGCAAAAAGGCGGTTCAGAATTTGGGGGTTTAGGGTTTAGGGTTTAGAGTTTAGGGTTTAGGGTCTAGGGTTTTTCGGCTTTTGGCGGGGTGTTGGGGCTTAGGTTTAGGGTTTAGGGTTTAGGGTCCAACTTCGGCCGCGGAGCATGGACGTGAAGCCTGCAAAGCAAGGATGCTCGCCTCAGAGGCGAAAGGGAGTTGAAGGGGGGAGCCAGAACAAAGTCGCTCAATGGCTAACACAGGCTAGGGATGTTTCGGGTTTTTCTGGGCATTGTTGGGAGTTTGTGGTGCGTGCAGTGACTCTATGGCTCCGGGGATACAGGGGGTTCGAGTCTAGAGATAGAGGCCAGGGTTGAGGTATGTCGAGAATTTATGAAGACAGGACAAATCATTGAGAAGGCTCAGGAATACTCAGGACTGCTGTCGATCTACTTCCTCTTCAGAGGCCATGGCAGGTTTCGGACTTGCCCCCCGAAGTTTCGGGGCAGCTCAAACTACGGCACTCTAATCCCAACTCTCGGATCTTGGCGGCCTTGTCTATCTGGGGGGAGCTGAGTGGCAAGAAACCTGCGGTGGTTCCATGCCTTACTTTATGTGGTCTTTCTGCTTGATGCTTCTATGGTGTCTGATTCTGAAACTCCCGGAGAGTGCCGGGGCCACGAGGCCTCTGCACGAGAAGATCTTCTTCAGAGCCCTGCCGGGACCCTAGCAAAATCCCCCCCAACCGCCGCCTTTTGCCGCGAAACCGAAGAACCCGCTGAATCTGAAGCAACAGAAGAGTTCTAACAAAAACCGGACACCCTGTAGCCCCAAACCCATCAAGCCTGAAACCCCTCTTGGGGCGAACACCAACCGACGGCTTCAGCTGGAAGCGGCGCTGCCTTCAAGAGCTGGAACTTACGACGAACCCAGGGCTTTGGGACCTTTCCCCTTCAGGGGGGTTTTAAGTGTTGGACTTAAAACTTTAGGGTTTTGGGAACAAGGCCTGTTAAATGTTAAGGGCCACCACCTGCGCGAGCGCTTTGCGGTTATTAGGGGTAGGACGTACCTGTGTTTTGCTGATGTCGGAGGATCAGCGCGGGCCTTTGTAAGCCTTCTAGCAGTCCTGAAGATTCGAGCCTTGTGGAGTTTGGCCTTGCCATTGCTTCGGTAGAACTATAAAGACCCGAGGCCCCAGATTCAGTGCTGGACTTGTGGGCCATCGCACTTGAGATTGCTTTTGGCCGCGATTCGGGCTGAGGCCTTAGACACCCCGTCCAGCCAAGCGAGATCCCCGTCTGGCCCCAAGTTCCCGAGCGTCGGAGGTTGGACTGCGGCAAAACCGTTGCCTCCATTTCGGGCGCGACCAAAGCGCCTCCAGACGATCCCTGAGCCGCACTGGCAGAAGGGAAGACTTGAGCCTTACGAACTTGAAGCAGAAACCCTAACCTAAGTTCCACGGCTGCGTTGGTCTTCTGGGCTGCAGAAGCCCCTGATGTAGTGACGCCGTGAGGAAGCCAGGCAGCTAGCGATGTGTTCTCACGCCGCGACCATGTGTTTTTTTATGGTATATGCCAGTATATGCCCCTAACCCCACGCTAACAGCCCCAAAACCCAGGTGCTTTCTTCCCCATCTAAACAATTATTGTACTTCGAACATCCCCACCCTACACATAGTGCATTTGGGGGCCACACCAGTGACTGGGGTTACGGTCGTGGGGTTCCCGGTCACGTAACAAAACACGAGCATTCGATTCAGGTCATTCGACGACCCATGGGGTCACACCACCGACTGGCGATACAGACATGGGGTCCAATGGATGGGCTGGTAGCATGGACGTTTTCATGGTTTGGGTATGTATGCACTGGCCAATGGATAGGTTAGGTTGGTAGCATGGACGTGATCATGGTTTGGGCATGGATGAAGTGGCCAATGGATGGATGTGGACTTCCTCATGGTTTGGGCATGGATGAACTCGCCAATGGATGGGTTGGCAGCATGGACATGGCACGATGCCGACTCGAGCGACAGAGAAAGCGTGGCAAACGAGGGTGATGGAGCGAGTGTTATTGCAGTAATTCGTAAATGATATGGTGTTACCATTTATTCTATGATGCTACATGTTATCATCTGTATGATAAAAACTATATGATAATTGATTGTACGATAACTTTTCAATAATAATAACAATAATAATAATAATAGACTACACGATAACTTTTCAATAATTCTGCAACATTATATTGCAATATATTATGTGATGTTATATCATACCATGTCATATCATGTTCTATTCTGCTATATTATATTATACTATCTTATCTTATATTGTACTGTATTCCATTATATACTATACCATATTATATCATGTTATGTTACACTAGACTATACCGTTACATATGATATTTCGCTTCAGCATGTGCTACAAAGTTGTATATATACATATACATATATACATATTAACAGTTGTTAGTATGTAGAAATCTAGCTACACCCCGAGGGTCGTGACATCTGCCGGGGCCCCGTCATCGAAGGATCGTCCGCCAGGTGTCGTGGTGTGGCGACCTTGGGTTTCCGTTGCTCCAAGGCTTTGGGCTTGGGTTTAGGGTTTAGGGTTTAGAGTTTCAGGGTTTAGGGCTTAAGGGTTAAGGGTGTAGGGATTCAGGGTTTATTCAGGGGTTGGGGTTTGGGGGTTTGGGGCGGCATTATGGTTTAGGGTTAAGGCTTGAAAAAACCACCCAGCATATGTAGAATGGGGATCCTTTAAAGGGCTCTGAAAAGGGTGGCTAATGGGCTCTACGAGATGGGGTTCAATCAAAGTGCTCTACTGCTTCGACTAGGGTTTGGTGCTTTTGTTCTAGGTATAACCGTATAACTTCAGAAAAACCATACCAGGGCTTTCAGGGAGTACAGTTATGAAATTATGGCCGCTACTACGTCGTACGTCTTCATCACGGTGCCCCGAAAAGCATCGACCGCCGGAGGCTGAGGCTGGAGTTTCGCTCTTCGGATTCAGGAATTCGGGGGTTTTTGGGGTTGGGGTTTAGGGATTTCGGATTTAAGGCTCCAGGGATTCTAGTCGTCTTCGGCGTTAAGGACTTTAGGGTTTGGGGAATTATTACTTATGAGGGATCGGTCTTTGGATCTGCGCAGGACCACAAGCCTCAGATTTTCGAAGGCCCTGGATGGCTGGGGCCCGAAGCACCTACAAACCAACCCCTGAAAATCTAAACCCTACCTTAACAGCTAAACCCGAAGTTAGACTAAACCCGAAAACCCTAAACCCTAAACCATAAAGCCCTAAAACCCTAAAACCCTAAACCCGAGGAAACCCATGCTTTTCCGCTCTTTCTCGAGCGTCGGCTCGCCATCCTCTACACTCAGAGCCTCGGAGCTCCAGATGTCAAGGAAGCTTTTGCAGCTGCCCTCCTTGGGGAAGGGGAACCTCGGAATTTCCCGCAAAGACAGAAGTCGGGCCTCTAGGCCTCAGGGCTGTTTTTTGTTAATTTTTTGGGGGCTTTAGGGTTTAGGGTTTAGGATTTAGGGGTTTAGGGTTTAGGGTTTCAAGTTTCAATAGATCTCAACAAGAAAGGAGCAAGCCATTGGCAACCTGATGGCTTCTCTTCGCAGGGCCTTCGCCATGTGACCGCCGCATAGAGCAGCCAGCCAGGGTGCACGATGGAAAGCCCGCCTCTGAGGATTTACGTTCAGGGCGTAGGGTTCGCGAGGCAAACCCCCAAACAGCCCACAACTGTAATATCGATGTGTATATATATATATATACACACGTAATTATTATTAATATAAATATATATATATATATATTTATATATATAGATATACAGAGAGAGAGAGAGATAATAAAAAAAGAGAGGGAGAGAGAGAGAGAGAGACAGCTAGAGCGAGAAACCGAAAGCATGAGCCTAAAAGCTTTAACTTCTCCCATGGGCTCAGAAGAGCTCCTGCAGGACCGCCCGAGGTTTAGGGGTTCGAAACCACACGTATGACTTAGTCACCTTAAACATTAGAATAAGGCCAGGGGTACATTTATACTTACTTAAATCGGAGTGGGGCATCTCTAACAAGATTTAGGGATGCATCTACATTCCAAACTCACAAACCCCAGAACCTAAACCACCAACCCCGCTCGACACGTGGCCTGCTTGCTGGAGTGCCAGTGCCTTGAGCCACTTCTCAGTCCGTCTTGCCACCACCACATGCGTGGCATTCTCCGGAGCTGTCACCAGCTCAGCGCCCAATCCTGAAAGGCTCTCATTAGAATCAGGCTTCGGTGATATATTATACTACAATGCGCAGACTATGCGGGGACACTCTTGCTAATTACTCTGTATTAGACAGGATCCTGCTTTGTTGTCCATAGTTTCTTTGACTTGATAAGGAGCAACGGGACGAGACATGCAGGACTCACAAATGTTCGTGTGGCCAACCTACCTGCCCTGCGTGACTGCCTACCCTGCTGCATACATACGTACATACATACAGCCCTAGAGTAAAGCAAAGTGGCTCTGAAGCCCATACCTACCTGGGTTCCTGTTGAAGGATTTCAATTAAGCTACCCCAATAAGGAAACCATATTATTTACTATAGATCCCTATTATGGTAACTTAAACTAAATCCCTTAACAATGGTAACTTAAATTAAATCCCTTAACAAGAACCACGGCCAGATGAAGCGTTCAGCCCAGCTGCGCTCGGGCCACTGGATATCGGAGTGGAAGAAGCCGGTGAGGCAGAGGCGGCAACCCTGAAGCGTCCGGCTTCCTGGGATCGGGAATCCACAGTGAAAGCCAGAAAAGAGAGATCTTCCCTCATCCCCAAATTCCCTAAACCCTAAACCCTAAACCCTAATTCCCAAACCCTGAATCCGGACCACCCGACTCCAAGAGCGGAACAGAGACAAAGACAAGAAGCGTAACGCCGGTAAGGAGGAGGCGACGCTCCTCCCTTCCCCGCCTTCCCCTGCCATGGAATCCTCTCCCGTACTGGGGAGGAAGACCGCCTGCGAACAGCAAGATTTGGGTTTAGGATGTTTAGGGCTGAAGACCTCAAGAAGTCCAGGCTTGAGCTTTTAGGCGTTCAGCGTTTCATGGCCTAGGGCTTGCAGGGGAAGGGATTCGGCTATAGGGGGGTTCCGGAGTCGTCAAGGGCCTGGGGCTGCAAAAACCACACCCGATCAACGCCCGGCCTCGTGTAAGTCCCGGAGAATCTTCTCCTAGATTCTCCAGCCATCTCGTAAGAATCAAAGGTGCTCCTATCATTACCGTTTACTTAACGAGGTAGACACCAACAATCGAAAGGGTATGCGGGTATTACTTCGCGACCGTAGTAGTATAGAACCATGCTGACCCTCTTTCAGGCCTATGAAACTTGTCTACAAAACCGTAAGCAAAACTGCAACCTAGTCTCCAGGTGCTTCAGTTGGAAATCTCTCGCCCGCAAGGGCCAGTGCGACTCGCAGAAAGCTGCGTCAATCTTCCGGCGCTTTGGCTCCTGGGAGTTTGGGCTTCAGGGTTTCAGGGTTTTGGATCCAGGGCCTCACGGTTTAGGGGTTCAGAGCTGTAAGGCTCAGCGGGTTTTGGGCTTCGTAGCTAACACCCATCTACAATCAATACACAAATCAAACAAACTCCAGGTTCAAACAAAAACAAATTAAAGAACAAGTAGACGAACAAGTACATGCGCAGGTACGTACATACCGCAATGTAACACTGCAGCCACGAAGGAGGCTTTGGCTGAGGTATCCGGTACGTCTGGGTCTTGAAAGAATATCGACGGCTTCGGTGTCCAGGCCGGCTCAGACAAACATAGCTCAACCCTCCGGATGCTGAGAGGATGTCGTCCCAGAGGAGGTGCACGAGATAACCGTAGTCATAGCTACCTATAACACAGCCTCAGGATTTCAGAACCCCAGCTTCACGAAGCAAAGTCATGGCTACGAAAGAACATGGGTTCAGGATTTCAGAACCCCACGAACAACCGTAGCCATGGTTATGCTGGATCCATCGGCATAGTCCATCACGGAACCGCTTTCCGGTCCGACGGTCTTCTGAAGCCACTTGGGTTCAAAAACTAGCTCAAGCCTGGACAAGGATAATGCATAAGGAAGTATTGCTTACAATCGAAGAATATGTTAGTGGCCCTTTGTGATTTTTCTGAAACTCCAGGAAGTCCTAAAAACAAAGCCCAAGCTCGGACCAGGGGAAGGAAGCAGTGGAGGGATCAGCCGCAGTGGCGCCGGTGAGCTTACCCTCAAAGTCCAGGTGCTGACGGGTATCCCCCTCAAAAGGCAGATAGGGGACGACCTCGTTGCAGTTTTTTGGGGTGTCGGGAAGATGGGAGTCGTAGGGCTTCAGCTTATTGATGAAAGGCAAGCTACCGTACTGTAGGGCGCCTGGAATCGTTGGAACGGGGGTTGGGGCTACATGATAGTCACTTTAGCTTCTTCCTAAAGCACTGGTAACTGTTCATCGTCATCCGTCTAGTAGATATTGAATACGATGTCGTCTACTAGCGAAGGGATAAAAGCCGTCGATTCCAAGACTCGGCCAGGTCCCAGAGAGGTCCGTTCGGGTGTTTGGGCGCCGATGTGATGCAACTGGTTGGGGTTTTGAGGCAGAGGGCTTAGGGTGAGTGAGATTTGCTTCAGGGCTTAACTGTACTCTCTGCCGCACCAAAACTCGCAACCAGCATGTGTTGGGCCCTCTCCCCACCTTCAACAGCTGAGACTGGCGGACAACCACCGGCCAAACCTCCTCCCGGTCATCCACGATCAATGCAGAAGTTGCATCCTTTGGCAAGATCTGCGACAGGTCCTGGGCATGTATCACACCGAGGGGTTCAGAGGCTGGGATTCTGGTCGGGGTTGAGAAATTCGAAGTCAAGATCTACATGGGGCCCGTAATTTCTGGACTGGGTCAGAGGTCCTTGAAGCCTTGTGGCGTGTTCTCTCGGTGAAAGATGCGCGGTGGATCTCCAAAATACCGGCGATCAGGGTCCAAGATCTCCAGGACCTTCTGTGCATAGGCGCCTGTTGCTTGCGTGTAGACATAAATCTCGCAGGTGTCCCTCGTGACCTGGAGGAAATCGTCTACGCCGGGCCGCTTCCGAATCTTCATCTTTGACGGCATACTCCGCATGTCAGCAGTCACCAGGGTGTGATCCAGGTCCATGACAAGTACCAGCTTTCTTTCAGAAGCCCGGCGGACTTGCTCATCAGCATCCAAACTCGAGAGGAGCGATGCAGACACCTGCAAATCTACAGCCGTTGTGAGAAAGCCTGGGCGCTGCATGGCCTTGGCCTTGTCCGGTGCAGTGGATACGATGCGATGACACTGGACGCACATTCCTGCGAAAGTTACATCATGAGCACACGCATCGCCATCAGATTCGGCCATGAGGTACCGCTAAGTGCCAAATCCAGCCAAGCCGACGCCCAACGAAGCCCACTGATGCTTGCCCGGATGCAAAACAGGCAAGATCATGCATACAGCTCCCTTGCTCTATTTCTGCTCTTCTCATTATTCGTACGGATATCATAGTGATTGTCTAGTCATAGAGTTGCAACAGTGGCAGCGGTCGTGGTGGTGGTTGTAGTCGTGGCCATGGTTGTGGTCGTGGTCGTGGTAATGGTCTCTGTAGCTTTCTATGTGCTTGTTCTTAGATTTATACTTCTTGTTGCGCTTGTACATGTGTCCTCTCATAAGTAAAGTAAAGTGTGATGAACACTGCGACTAGGTGAAGTTCCTAAACACACGTACTCTGCAACTAGACGCCTCGATTGCAACTTATGCGAAAATTAAAGGGTAAGGGTCCCGGGTGGACATACTGCAAACCAAGGTGACGCCCCTCGCAGGACGCCTTTTGCGCAACCGGGACGCGTTAAGTCCTGCACCTAGTACTATCAGAGTGTGTAGTGATTTTTGGTCATCAATTTGGCTTGCTGGTTCTATGGTATTGCTGTTGCTACCATTGCCACTCCTGTAGCGCCGCGCGTGTGCAGACCTTGGCCTAAGAGCTACTCGAAGCACGAAGGCTGCGGCACATCGTTACTTAGAGCCTGCGAAGAAACCCAACCTCGCTCAGGACTCGCGGGTCGATGGCAGGGCAGAATGACAGAACGAGCACAAGATACTTGCAGACATGCTGCTGAAGTATGGACAAACGGACGACAAGTCTGATGCATGGTTGGCCCCTTTTGGCATTTTTCGGCTGCGCGACAGGGTTGCAACTCATCGAACAACACGAGCTCGGGCCTTCTGGCTCAGGTTGGGTTTCGGGCCTGGGATTGGGTTCTTGCGGTGCACAAGCAACAAGAACCCCACCAAAACTCCGGAAACTCCGAACTCGTGGCAAAGCCACCTGAGCCTTTGGGAGGCACCCCGGCACTGCTCTTCTCTTTGAGTCATGCGGGAGAGAGTCCATAAAACCGAGAGACTTGAGCAGAAGGCCCTGGTGGGAAACTCGAGATTCCCATGGCAGAAGCTCGGGAGTTGATGCGTCGCAAGGATCCCCGCTGTACATGGCCATAACCAGTTGGGCCCTTCTTTCGGAAGCCGTAAAGGCCGGCGGCAGCCAGCGGAGGGATGTCCGCCGATTCGCCCCTACCTCTTTTGACACCTCGAAAGATTCTAAGATGGCTCATCGCACTCTAAAGTCTTTAGAGGCTTTTTAGGCTTGATATTTAGGGCTCCAGGTGTTCCTTGCCTCCTTGCTGCAAGGCACTGTTCTACTGTAGCTAATTAGTTCCCAAGACGAGGCGTCCCAGTTCAAGCTGTGCCGGCATCACTTGCTGCTGAATTCCTACAGGCACAGCGGCTCTCGTCCAGTTCGGCGAGGTCACTCGGCGATTTTTGAGGTTTAGGCTTTTCACACATTTCTGCTGTACCTGGTTCAGAATCCCCCGTAAATACCATTGTTTCCATACTTCCGGGCCATTCCCTTCTGCCCGCAATTTAATGTTGAAATTGCCGTGGTTTTTTGAAGGCATCCGTAAACCACACCGGTATTTGTGGGGTTTTCTGATCTGCTTCACACTTAAGACGTGTACGCAACTAAGGCCCCTTCTTGTTGCTTCCGTTTCTGCCCAGCCCTGAAAAGACAGCATCCATGGTCCAACCATGATGACGTCCATGTTCTAATCAGTTCTGGGCAGAGAGCATCCATGGCCCAAGCATGATGACGTCCATGGTTTACTATGTTCTGAGAAGAGAGGCTCGATGTCTCGGTCTGATCCGTTCTGAGAGGAGAGCATCCATGCCCCAACCGTGATGACGTTCATGGTGCAATCAGGTCTGGGCAGAGAGCATCCATGCCCCAACTATGATGATGTCCATGGTATTGTAAGGTCTGAGCAGAGAGCACCCATGCCCTAACCGTGGTGACGTCCATGGTCTACGTCCATTGTCTAATCCGTCCTGAGAAGAGATCATCCATTGCCCAACCCTGATGACGTCTACATGGCCTAATCGTTCCGAGAAGGTTAAACCTTCTTGGCAGAAATGGCTGGATGTTCTTGTTTTTAGGCGCACTTTGGGAGCAGAAGGGAGTCATTTCTCAACACTACGGGCTATGACCTAAGTGCTGAACCTCATGTTTGCTGGTGGTGCCATACTTTTCCGCGGGTTCCTTGTGGACTCTGCAGGGTTTAGGGGTAGGGTTTTAGGGTTTAGGTCACTCGATATGTTGAAAGCCATGCATGCAAACCTACGTCGTCCCACATGTCTGCTGTGCTCTGCGAAAGCTCGCCGTGCCACTATTCTGTCGGCTGCACCGCCGACTGTGCTCGGTGGGCGAAGTCGGTCCTGGTCCCTTGCAAGTTTAGGGCTTCGTGTCTGATGGTGATGGTGTACGGTTAAGTGCTTCATAAATGGTGAGGGTTTAGAGATAAATCTGTAAGCACTTTCGGGCTTGCGTGGAGATAGGGGATGTTGTGCCCTTAAGCCTCAAACCAAACACAAGTACAGTATCTGAAAGCAGATGTCATCTGTCAGCCAGATAACATGATGCACGTAACATATGATAGACGACGGTCTTCAAACAGCTTCGAACCTTGGAATTCCTGCGGAAACAAAATTGACCAGGGCCGCACCAAAAACGCAGAGGGAAACGCAGAGGCATCCTCCCGCGAGCCTGCAGCAGGCCGCATGTGTTGAGGGAAGCAGAGGCGAAGGCGTCTTCGGGATTGCAGGATGGAGTTTAGGATTTAGGGTTTAGGGGTTTCGGGGTTTAGGAGTTTAGGGGTTTAGGGGTTTAGGGTTTAGGGGTTTAGGGGTTTAGGGTTTAGGGTTTAGGATTAAAGTGCTTCGGCTGCAGTGATGGCATGCTGAAGGGATTGCTCCTCGCTACGGTGTGCGGGAGAGTTTGTCTGGCCTCTTACTTGTTTGGTTGGGTCTCGAATCATGAAACGACTGAGACACAACTTTACCTACATTCCGTTCAACCCAAGTATTACACGTTGCCCTGGGAGCGTGCCTCGTGAGATAACACGAATCCAAATCTCCCCAAAACAAGTCTACAAGGCACTCTAACATCACCACAGCAACAGACATTGTCCAAAAATGATCGCCAAAGCATTCAGCCATACCCGTAAAAATCTCTATAAACCGACAAAGCTCGAAGAGCATGGGGAGTACTTGTTCGTGAAAGTAGTAACTATCAGCTTTGTAAAGGTACCCATAACGGCTTCAGGGAATAGCAGGGTGGTGTAGATGTCGAGGCCTTGCAGTTTGTAGGTTTTCCGAGTGGAGTTTCGGAGCCCAGGCGGACAGTATTGATAATTATTCAGGGTCCGATATTGCAACGAAACCATCGTCTTATCCCTAAACCCTGAACCCTAAACCCCTAAACCCCTAAACCCCTAAACCCCTAAACCCTAAACCCTATACCCTACACCCTAAACACCTAAACCCTAAAAGAATCATTATACTTACAATGAGGAATCTGAGCCGACGGAGTAATATTGTAATTATTTCGGCTTCTATCTTAGGGTTTAGGGTTT